ACTCTCTTTAGGAGTATCAATACTCGTGGTTTGATTTCGATACTCATGAGGTGGTATCGACACATGTGAGAAATTAAGGATTCCAATATCCATTTTTGTGGTACCAAGGGTAGAGTATTGATACTTAATAAGGGTATCGATTCTGAGGTATTTTTTAAAACATCGAAGCCAATTTTGGTATCGGTACTCAGGGTAGTATTAATACCCACCACTAGGAGTATTGATACTCCCATAAGAGTACCTATACTTATAACGCCCCAAAACTCGGGTTAGTAGTTCGAGTCAATCTAAAACCTATAAACTGAAACCAATGACCCAATAGAATGGTTGGATTTAGTTAATTAACGTTTGGTCTTGAGTTAGGCCCAAAGGATAATGATGAGTTTGTCTGATTTTGGAGTCAAAGGGACTAAAAGTGTAATTTATCCAATTTTATTTTTGAAAGATGAAAATCCCCCTTATTTTAAGATAGTTTACGTGAACTACTCCCATATATCACACCAAACCTTCTTCTTCTTCCTTCCATTTTCTTCTCTTCCTCTTCCTTTCCAAAATCAATATATCAAACATTTTAAATCTAGATTGGCTTAATCAAGGTAAGATTGTTAATCCTCATTCTCATAGCTTCGATTTAAGATCCATATTTAAAGTTTTAGACTTGGATTCCAAAAATGGGTTTTGAAGGAGGTTATGAGAATCTATGGATTCTAACTCTTTTTAGGTGGATTTGAATTATGGAGAGTGTATTTAAATTGTTTTTGAGCATCTAATTAAGCTAGTATTCCATTTTCTACCTAGTTTAGTGAAGGAGGTAAGAGAGAGTTCCAAAGCTAAGAGAAAAGATAATGCACCTCTTGAGTGAGTTGGAGTTTTTGCTATTAGCCAAGAATTCAAGGTAATTACACTTACAACTCTTTTATACTCTCTTGTGGGTCATTTTGAAGTGCGAAGTAGCATAGAGTTTGATATTAAAGCATAATGAGCATGTTCATGGAAAGTGATATGTTTTATGTTATTAGTATGTTTTAGAGCCTTATTTATGATCCTTATTTACCACATAAGACACTAAAATATTTAGGAGCCTCAAGGTAGCAATATGGGTAAGTTTAAATGACTAAATAGGGGTATTTCGGACGAGGGTATCGATACTGAATGAATCGATATCGATATTCTTATTCAATCAACTTAAAAATGGTTCATGTTAAAAGGGTAGTATCGGTACTTATTAAAGAATTATCGATACTCAGGGTCTAATATCGATACTCAATGGGTAAGTATTGATACTGTAGTATTTTTTAAAACATCAACGCCAAATTTGGTATCGTACTCATGGGAGTATCGATACCCAGGGTAGAAGTATTGATACTCTCTATAAGAGTATCGATATTGTGTATATTTTCAAAACATCAAACCTAATCAGTATCAATACCAAAGGATATGTATTGATACTAAAGTATCAGTACCGATATTGAGGGTACAGTATCGTTACCAACGTACATTTTTGGGCAATAAATATTAAGGGATTGTAAGGATAAATGAGGTTCCCAAGAACTATATAATTACTTTTAAATAAGATTACAAGTGGAAACATTAATGATGCTTAATTACACTTAGAAACGAGATAGGTTAGGGTGACATAAAACTAACCTTGAATGATGCTCGGGAAACGATTAGGACATCCGAGTTCCTTTAGTAAAGATAAGGTGTCAAAATTTAGAAGCGGTCCAGATATCCTTAGGTAGTGCGCAAGGCACTTTAAACTGATTAGATAGGGTGCAAGTTCCGACACTCATAATAGGTGGGTTAGTAGAGGGTGTTGTGTCTGATGCAGAGATTATGGGCCTCATCTTCAGTAGGCTAGAGGGGTGCGTGAGCTCCGAGATACAGAAATCTCACAGTCGTATCATGATGTCTACCATAGAGTGGAGAGTGAGTATACTTGTATACTCACTATATTATTTATCAGTTGGTTTGAGCATTGATGTAATGACCCACTTTTTGTATGTTTTAGTTGTTAGTGTGACACTATGCTAGTTAGCTCAACATTTGGAATTTGTTTCCTTACATAGATTCTTAGGTAAATAGCAGTAGAGGAGCATTTTTTGTAGTAACGACCCATACACCGTTCAGAGTAGAGTATGTCTCAAGTTCTTTAGATGGCATGTATATTCTGAAACCAACATTTTGTGTATTTTGAATCCCTATTTTGTATAATTTAATCTTAACTCATTTTAAATTAATGGTCTGCATATTTTTAAATGATATTTAAAGAGCTCCTGAAGTGAATTGATTTATGTAAATATTATTGATTATTTTATCATGAGAAATTTCAAATGAATGTTTTCAATTGATTAAGTTTAAGAAAATTTTTGGTAAGCCACTCTAGTAGTTCTGTGTGCCACTCTGATCGGTTGACTATGTGTCGTACTGGTTTAGTGTGTTACAATACTAAATGGTTTTCCCAAACATTGAAGTTATTTTTGGAATTGATGCTCACCAAGAGTCGGTATCGATACTATTGGCATAGTATTGACACCATCGTCATGGATTGGGTAATTTTGCCTAGTTGGTTTAAGGGTTTACATTTGGGGATTTTGTGGTCTTACAAACTTTGAGTACATGATTACAAGAGAAAATAATTAAATTAACTAATTTCGAGAAAACAATTAAATTAACTAATTTCACACCTAGAAATTAAGCAAATTAGGATGACATAAGATTGGCCATTGTGTGACGCTAGAGAAACGGTTAGGACAAATGAGTTACTATAGTATTATGACAATCGTCCTTTTTTGATGAAATATCTGGATATTTTTTGCTAGGCATGCATCCGAGCACGTAAAATTCTGGATCGTACCTAATAATCGAATAAGTTTGGGATCTGAGTTTCTGATGCACGTACAATTTCAATCCTCACCCTGAAACTATCGAGTAGGTGGGATAGACTAAGGACGTAAGTTCAGATGCATGTAGAATTTCGGTTCTTACCCTGAGGATTTCACGTTTCAAGATAGACTGGTATGTAGTCCGAGATGCACATAAAATTCCACCGACCACATCACTAGGCTTATCTCATGTTTGTTGATATACTTTTTCATATTCATAGCTTTACACACTGACATGTTCATATAATGAATGCATGTAGTGTTGCATAGTTATTATCGTGGCACTAAGCTTATGAGCTTAACATTCAGAATGTGTTTCCGTGCACAGGTCAATAGAGGATCTACGAGGAGCCTATCATTTAGATACATTCCAGACCAGCAGTTTTAGAGTATGTCTTGAGTCTGTTAGAGGGCATATATTTATATAGACATTTTATTTATTCGAGTCATAACTCTATTTTGATTTGAAACTCAATGCTTGTATTTGTAGTTATTGAGAGACTCTCGTATTTTGTAAACTATGATTTATGGTCTTTTATTTATATTATGGTGAATGACTTATCAATGTTTTGCAAATGTTTTAAAGAAATTTTTGGGTTAGCCACTCTAGTGGTTCGCGTAATGATTTAACCATACGATCTTCGGGTCAGACCGGATTAGGGTATTACATGCTTAGTACCATATCTTCAGCATGCTTGTGTTTTTTAGAGTCATCATGCTTCTCTAGATTAGCGATTATACTACTGGGCTTTGTAAGCTCAACGTTCGGATGCTCCCGTTCCCAGGGTTTTAGCTTAGGTTGTTCGTAGTGCACCGTTGCAGTAGGACTTCTAGTATCTCTTTTGGAGTACTATATTGTAGCTTAGTGGGCATATATATTCATAAAACCTTACACACGTATTTAGATTTATAAGAAAGAGTGTAATATTTTGATTTAAATTATACGTAATTGGGCTCTGGTTTATAAAATACTTTTATAACTGCTATTTACATGTATTATGATATTATTCAACATGTTTTAAAAGATGAATGAATAAGTTTTGAAAATCAAGGTTGCCTCGGTGACCTAATGTGACGCTTTATGCCCATTCGTGTTTAGGGTGTTACATGGTAGGATAGAGAGGAATTATAAAGAATTAGATGAAGGTGGATGTGTCACGTTGGATGAGCAATGAATATTTTAAATGGCAGGTTGGAGATGGTAAAACTGCTTTGTTCTGGGAGGATTGATGGTGTGGAGAAAAACCACTATGGTTTGTTTTTCATCGATTGTACATGTTATTCTCTTTTAAAGATGAGACTGTGGCTTATTGAATTGGAAAGACTGGCTTATTATTATAGATAAATTAGTTAAGTAATAAATGGGGTTAGAATTTTCTCGGAAGTGGCGGATAAATTGATATGGATCCATGATAAAATTGAATTTTTTCTGTGAATAAGCTAACGCAACTAAATACCGGGGTGGAGGAGCCAGAATTTGACTTTGATAAATTTTGGAAATTGAAAGTGCCTCTCAAGGTTAAAAGTTTTTTTTGATGTTGAAGATTAATCGACTTCAAACAAAGGATTTTCTGAATAAAAGAGGTGTTGAATGCGATCCAGAGCATAGCTATTGGGTCCATTGCGGTTGAAGTTATGTAACGGTGAACCATTTGTTTGCTAGTTGCTCATTTATTGGAAGTTTTGGAGGCTATTATATAGTTGGTGGTGTATCGAGTTTGTTTTTTTTTTTTTTTTTTGCTTTTTGGTACCTTACACAGGTTTTTCATCAAAGTCTGTGGAGGATTAAGGTGGTGGATGCATTATGGAGTATATGGCTAATTTGTAATGATGTCGTGTTTGGGGACAAATCTGTGTCGTTTTTTGAACGAACGCCAGTAAATATTCGTATTTTAGTGGTGTTTTTATATAAACGCCGCTAAATAATGTACTTTAGTGGCATTTTAAGCACAAACGACGTTAAATATTCTTACTTTAGTGGTGTTTTATATAAATACCACTAAATATTATACTTTAGTAACGTTTTTATACAAACACCGCTAAAAACTCGTAACGTTTTTATTCAAATACCGTATTTATAAGTACATTTTACAGTTTCTAATTCTCACGCCCCTTCAACCTTTTTTTCATTTTTTTTCCCTTCACATATTTTTTGGACGATGGAAAAAGTGAGAAAGCAAGTTGAAAGCAAAAAGTGTTAACAAAGGCGGAGTTGAGAAGGAGGAACTGGTCGATGGAAAGAAGCAAGTTGAAGGTTTGAGATTTAGAGATCTCGAAATTAGTGGGGAGGCCGATTTCTGATTCGTATATAAGGGAGAATTGGCAGGCAGCTGTAAAGGAGGCGGAGAAGACCTTTAGGGGGGAAATTAGGGATTCACGTGCGAGGTGAAGAATCGGAAGTAGTCAAATAGCTAGCCTTTCTTGAGTAGGGGCATAATCAATTTTTAGTGTTAAAGTCTGGGCCGATTCGGAGGTGGAATCTACTTGAGGATTGTTTCGTGGAGCTCTAGAGGTCGAGGGGCGGAAGCATAGCTTTTGGTACTACATTCGTTGGTTAGAAAGCAAAAAGTGGTTACATTACATTTGCAGGAGTCAAGGAAGGAAATGCTTGACGATTTGTTGGTTCGTAAAATTTTTGTGTTGATGTCGTTTCCAAATTTAGAGCTTTTATAGAAGTAAGGAGGTTTGGGGGGCGGCTTTCGTCTGGATTTAGGTTTCTTCTGATGTTGTTCATCCACCACTACTTTCCATACCCTTCTGCAGTTTTGTCTTAAATTCTTAATGCCTTGATGATTTATCATGAAAAACTCAAGGGTCGAGGATGTAATATCATTCTTTTCTTTGATTTTCATTTCTTCTTCCCTGTAGCTAATATAGCTCATGATGGATTTTTTCTGGTTATTGAATCAGTAGTCATATACTTAAACTGATTATACTGAAGGCTACGCCTTCACATATCTTATGCTTTCTATTGTAGAATGGTAATTTTCATTCTCATCTTTGTTTCCTTCTGTAGTTGTGGGTGTTGGTGCTGCACTTTTCTTGTTCCAACAGTTTGCCGGGATATATGCCGTGGTGTATTATTCTACAGCTGTCTTTCGTAGTGCTGAAATTGCATCAGATGTTGCTGCTAGTGCTCTTGTTAGTGCATCAAATGTCTTTGGTAAGTCTTTAATCATTTTTAAAAAGCATAAGTTCTTGGGGGAGGGGGAGAACCAAAATTCATGTAGGAGATTTAACATTTGTTGCTTCGACTCTTCGTTTCTCTTGAAGTATTTGTGTTTGACCTCTGATTTTAAACATATCCAAGCATGAGTATGAGGATATGAATTATGACCCTCCATGGACTCTTCAAATAGATTGGAAATCTTGGAAAAAATGAGCGTACCTGTGTTGAACACATACTCATGTCCAATGCTCACAACTGAGTCCGAGTAATATTCCTGGCTTGTGAAATTCTTGCAGGCACAGTTATTGCATCCTCTGATGGACAGACAAGGAAGGAAAAGTCTTCTAATCATTGCTGGAATGGTAGGATTTTTCTCCGTAAAGGTTCATGCTTCCAAAGCAGAGTGTTTTCATTACATAAACTTGAATGTTTTCTCATTTTCTTCCACATCATGACCAATTTTCTTAAACTGCAAGTAGTCTTACTTTTTGTAATCAAGTTTTAGCCTAGAGACTAATTCTCTCTAATTTCAAAAGCTCACTCGGATTATAAAATCATGTTTGTTTATAGCAACCAATAGTAATTAAATTTCCAATTGGAGAACTTTTTTCATCATTAAGTAGCCGGAAGAGTTCACTTCAGTATCTCAGAGCAAGTTCTCAGGTGGTTTTCGTGAAAGACTTTTACATGCAAGCAAAAATTGGTCACTTTTTAGCTTGCTTGTAAAACAACTCCGTTTTGAATCTGGACCCTTTATTTTTCCTTCAATTTCATGGATGTTTAAATGGATTTTGACTGAAACAGTAGTATTTTGATGAGCTAGGATTTCACCGTTCAATGGTTGAATAGGCTGTTTATTGATATTATTTCAGCCAATATGGATGGCCTTAAACTTTAAACCATGGTGAGCATATTAGTTGGTTAGAGACTAAATGTGAAGCTCATAATTACAAAATGATATGATGCACAAATTTCTCATCAGTTTCTCTTATAAGTAATATATCATTTCTTTTTTCGATGTCATGTTCCTCGGTTTTCATTTCGCTCGCTAAGGGTGCTTCAATGTTGCTGCTGTCATTGTCATTCACATGGAAGATCCTGGCCCCCTACTCTGGCATGCTAGCCGTCGTTGGGACTGTTCTGTGAGTTAAACCCTTTCATGCAATTAATGATTCTCCTTCTAATTGTTTTGATGCCTGCAATCATTGTCGCCTCCTAATGACCAGAGAGATCTAAAGCTGGTTTCCATTTCTTTTACACAGCTACGTCTTATCATTTTCTCTTGGTGCTGGTCTGGTGCCTGCTCTTTTGCTTCCGGAATTGTTTGCTTCCAGGATCAGAGCAAAAGCAGTGGCTCTATCGCTTGGCACGCATTGGGTAAGTTGCGATAAAAAATTGACCCAAGCATTTTGATATGTGCATGGGCATGTTTATCCCTGCAAGCAAATTGGCATGTAAATACTTCAATATGATGTGGTAACGTAATGTAACAATGGTCCTTTCTTAATATGACTTTCTCCATTGCATATATTTTTCTTGGAAAGAACATGATCTGAACATGTTTATTCGTGATATTTCTGCTTTCATCTTTCGATTGGGTGTATTTCTTGCTTTCATGTCAGACTTTGTTTTTCTGTTCTAACAGATATCGAACTTAATCTAGGTTCTTTTTATATTTTATAAATAATTTAATTTTGTATCCCTAAAATTTTATACTCATAAATTTCTAGTATGTTTTTCAAAAAACTCACACTCTAACCTATTGTTATTATATGATTATATAAATTAATGTTGACATATTAATAGCTCATATTATATAATCCGTGTATTGTTATAGGTTGTTACCATGTTTAATTTTCATGTTCAAAGTTATCTAACTTATTGTTTATGCATATATAATAGGTTCATGATGCATTTATAGGACAAAATCAACTTAAACAATGATGCATATGATACGACAAAATCAACCCCAAAGTCCACCATCTTAGATATTATTGTTTATTCTAGTTAACAATGTTGAACTACATTATATTTTACGTTAATATAAACTTTGATTTATTATTATGGATTTCAAATTTCTTGTTATGGATTTCAAGTTTGTTTTTTGGATGTCAAGTTTATTGGATAATGCTACAGGTTAAATTTGGGTAACAAAAGAGTAGAAAACATTTGAAAAATTAGTTTTAATTCACTGCGTTTGTATAAAAATCAACTAAATAAATACTAGTCAATACCAGCGTTTTTGAAAAATGCCATTAAAGTTCTAGATTTTTTGCGGCGTTTATAAACACCACTATATACGTAATCAATAGTGTGTTTTACATTCACAAAAGTCACTATATGTCAAAATATTTAACGGTGTTTTTGGGATAAAACGTTACAAAAAAAAAGATAAGTAGCGGCGTTTGTAAAAATAGCCGCTAAAAAACATAACCTTTAGTGGCGTTTGTGAACTATAAACGCTGCTACAAAGGTTTTTAGCGGCGCTTAAAAAACGCCGTTATATAACTAAAAAACGCCACTAAAAACCAATTTTACTGTATGATTCTTGTTAGTAATCAGGAATAAGTCTGTATGATTCCTGTTATTAATCATATTCGCCAAGCAAAAAAAAAATCAACATTTACCAGGAGTTCCTGTTATTAATCACGAACAAATGCATCGTGTATAAAACATAAGATGACATTCTCTTCCCACTATGTCCCTATATCAATGCACAATCAACTAAGCCTACCTAAGAGAAACTAAGAAAATTACATGCAAGGGATTCTTTACCTCATCATCTTCCACCCGATAACTCGATAGCAACCTGGATATGTACCGAATCGTCTCCCCAGTCCAATCTCCTTTGCAGTCTTTCATACTCTCGCCTACGTGTAACCTCGACGTGTTGCCATTCTTCCCACCTCTGTGCAAGCCCCTCTCCTTCCAGCATCCTCACCACCTCTGACATTGGCGGACGATCCTCTGGTGAGGCTTGGGTGCAAAGCAATGCAACTTGGATCATTGCCTCGACCTCTTCGATGCTGTAATCTTGTTTAAGGTTACGATCTACAATCTCATCCAACTTTTTCTCCCTTTCTAGCTTCTTAACCTTCACAAACAAACAAGTTCCCCAGAAAGTGAGCAATATTAGTGATCATAATTTTGGAAATTTGTTGGTATAAAGATTTCAAATCTTTCCACAAGAAAAAAATTCGCATATTCTTCTTTGAAAGCATGCTAAGAAACACGAGGAAAGGAGAAAGATACGCATGCAAAAGCCAAAATCGAAAGAGATGCGAGTTATCTTACATAATCAAGAAGCAAAACATCATCTTCATCTTCCAAGCGTGAAAAATCTATCGCACGTTGACCTGTTACGAGCTCTAGAAGCATAATCCCATAACCAAAGACATCCGTCCTCTCTGATGACTTCCCAGTAGACAAATACTCGGGTGCTATGTGTCCCATCGTCCCGCGAACTTGAGTTGTTATATTTGTCTGTCTCACGTCCACCAACTTAGCAAGGCCAAAGTCACCAACAACTGCTTCAAAGTCTTCATCCAATAATATATTAGCGGCCTTCACATCCCGATGAATGATCTTAGGATTGCAATGTTCATGAAGGTAATCCAACCCACGGGCTGCACCTAGAGCTATTCGTTTTCTTTTAGGCCAATCTAAAACAGGTTCACCAGGTTTGAGTTCTGCAGCAGTTCAAGATAGTCAAATATTTTATGATGGTCTCTGGAAGAACGGAAAGTTTTAAGGGAATAATAAAAGCAGCACAATAGATTCTACAAATTTCCAAGAGAAGACATTTATAGTAGCTAATAGATTGAGAAAATATTTCAGAGTCTGACAAAATTATGCTCAAGATAGATGAGCTTATTTTTGCAACTATCACATCCAAATATACGCTATGCTTCTTTTGAAGCTCAAGATAGAAAATGTTAAAATATGTAATAAAATCCATGCTGAATAAAATACTCAAAGATCTAGTACCTCGAAGACGAGAGGCCACGCTTAAATTCGGCATGAAGGGATAGACCAAAAGGCGTTCCGTTGGTGTTGTACAAAAGCCAATCAGCCGTAAGAGATTCCTGTGAACAGCGACACTTATCATCTCAACTTCGCGTTGAAAAGCTGCATCTCCTTCAGGACTTCCGAAGTCAATTAATCTCTTAACTGCGACTTTCGTGTTATCAGAAAGCACACCTTTATAAACCTTTCCGAAACCTCCCTTTCCAAGAACATTATTTTCACTGAAGCTATCTGTAGCCAACTGTAATTCCCTCCATGCAAACCTTGTCAATTGACCAAAAGAAATTCTTTGGTCAACTTCACCTGACCAAACAAATTTAAGGAATTTCAAAAAAATATACGAACAGATTATGCTCAAGTTATCCTTACAATGAAATCCGATTTATACTTAACAAGGCATTATAGTTGAAAATGTTTTTCACATCCGTCAACAAAATTGACTTTCTCGACATTCCTGGTTCAATTAAGGCTCATAGAAGCTACATAGTAAATTACTAGTTGTAATGCCAAGAAACTTTCAAATGAAATACAAAATTCTGCAAACTACATAGCTAAGTGATTAAAAGGTAGTAAAAACCTGCAACGTCTACAAAGAATTCGCCCTTGTTGCCTTTCTGTCTACGTTTGCACAGTAAAAACAGCAATCCACCAAAAAGAAGAATTACAAATCCCCCAACAATTCCAACAATAAGACCAACTTTAGGCTTATGTGATGATCCTGTAAGAAAAGAGAAACCTCAGAGATGGTCAAATTATTGTGCAAATTTAACAGTTGTATCTTAGAAACCTTTGAACCAGTGCTGTCGATGGCAAAAAGAGCACGCTAGGCCTTAGTACCATTGAACTACCAGAAGTGCAAAGCTCAAGAAAAAAAAGGAAACTCGCCTGAATAAAGTAAGGCAATATGTATTTATGATAAGCTTAGGAAATATGATAATATAACTCTTAAAAATAGTCCATTTTATGTACAAAATATGCAAAGTTCTCTTTTTTGTGTTTTACTTTTGTTGCCCAATATGTATGCATTCTTCACGGACCCATGTATGTTGTTGAGTACTCGACTATTAATAAGTCAAGTCTAATACTAGAGTAATTTTTTATATACATGCTTTGTAAACTAACGTTTACACAACCCTATCTATTTGAACCCTAAAATCTAAAATCTTAACCCTAAAGCCCTAGACTCTAAATTCTAAACCCTAAATTCAAAAGACTAAAACATAAAACCCTAACCCGTAATCTTAATAGAACACATGGCATTAGAATAGACAGACTTGAATAAACTAAAGTTTACACAGCCTATGTATCAGATAATTTTACATAATATTGTCACCTTTCTTGCTAGTAAAGGTACAAAATAGAGAAAGCCAAGGGCAGGCTAGGACCTTGGCCCCTTAGTGAAATGGTACAATAACTTCTTTAGCGCCTTTTAAAATATAATAATTCAATTTAATTCTTTTTAGCTCCTTAATTAAATGAAAAAATTGCATTTTTACCCCCTTCAGAAAAATTAATAATTCAATTTAAACCATTTTAACACAAAACTTTTAGCTTTGGCCTCCAAAGTTTTTAAATTTTATCTTCGTCCCCAACACAAAATTCCTACCTTCGTCCCTAGGTACAACTAATGAAGAAAGAAAAAATAAAATAACCTAAAAGCACTTCAACCGAGCAGGCTTTTTTGTACATACTGCCATACAAAAATCACACCTAGGTACATCAGTGTGTGCTTGGTCAAATGCGCCTCGTCCATAAGTATTTGAGGCACAAGGGCTAGGGTGCATGCCTTGACAACACAGCGTTGAATGTTGTAAAACAATGTTACCGAGTCAAAAAAAAAGTTAATGAAATTACCAGAATTGTTTTCAGTTGACACGCATGGATGAGGAAAATTTACACCACAATTTAAATTGTTTCCTGTAAAACTGAATAAACAAAGTTAATAGATTACACCGCAATTTAAATTGTTTCCTGTAAAACTGAATAAACAAAGTTAATGGATTAAGTTCACGACCGAAGCATACATCTACAGTGGGTGCATGCACATTGCTGGAGAGAGATAAAAGGGTGTAAATACACATGTAGTAGCAAAATAAATAAATAGTAGAAAGAGTTTTATTTCTTTGTATTGAAATAGGCAATAAAATAAATTAATAAAAAATAATCGTACTTGTAATTTGGAATGTTGAACAAAATATCAGGTACTTGACCACTAAGATCATTTGAATCAAGCGAACTGCAAAGAAAAAAAGCTCAGCCATTTCAAAGGCACTTCAAAAGAAGTCCAAAAAGAAATAATCAATCATGCGTTCAAGTTCAAAACTTTACAAACTAAGAAAGCATGGATCAATTTGTTAAAACTCAATGTTTAATCAATTAGCTGTTGTATATCAAAGACCTTCGGACGCCATTCCGGATTCTTTACTTACAGTGAGATCAAATTTGTAAGACCTGAAATAGGCTGTGGAATGGTCCCATTAAGATTGTTCTTACCAAGTGTCCTGCTTGAATGAAAGAAAGAATGTCGTCCTATGAATGAGTTACGAGGTAATGCAAAATATATCAAAACAAGTAAAATCTTAATATAAAGATAGTTCTTACAAGAATTTCAGATTTTTAAGATTCCAAAGGGAAGAAGGTATTTCGCCAGTTAAATTATTATTTTCCAAATCCAAGCTTGTCAAGTTTGACAAATTTCCAAACTCTTTAGGGATCTCACCAGTTATACCATTTCCTTTCAACGTACTGCATGCAGGACATGGAAAAGCACACATAAATATATAAGAACAAAAGATCCATCCCAAGGCTATAATGACCGTGTGCAGAAATAACTAGTTAAATAAAGTTATCAATGAGCAGAAACTCGCAATTTTAGTCTATGCTTTGAATTAGTGGCAATCATTATCTAACATTTTATTACCATAAGGATGCTCGTATAGTACAGAGTTACTACTTACTACACATGTAAGATATTCAACTTTTTCACCAAAGATACAGAACTTATGGAGTAATAGTAATTCGACCAACAGATTCAGCAAAACAGTCTCACTCTTACAGTAAAGCCCTTTCATGATCCTCCAGAATCAGCAGTCCTAGGTAACTCCTCCGTCACTTGAAACCAATGTTATTTAGTAAGCTACTTATTTTTCTCAGTTTTCATATGCCTCCAACATATTCATATCATTTCAAAGAGATTATTAAGGCTTATCATACAAGAACATTTAGCCTAATAATGATGTATGACATAAATCAATAGGTTTGTGCACTGTTAGAAAGCAAAGAAAATTCTTATCAACCCGAGAACCGGGTATAAACAGTGATGGAACTACTCAGCAAAATTCAATACATCAAGAAAAAAAACAAACTATTAATTGCTAAAATTCATGTTCGATACGTACATTGATGAAAGATTTTGCAGAACTCCTATTTTAGGGGACAATGTGCCAGAGAAGTTCATGGATGACAAAGTGCTGAAAGAAAATTGACGATATCAAGATAAACATGCATTTATGTTACAAAAATAATATTTCAAGAACAATGAAATCATGCACGCGTACATTTGCAACTATGAACCATAGTCAAGGAGAAATAAAAAGTATACAAATAACTTACACAGATATGACATTTTTATTACTAGGATCACACTTAACATTTGTCCAAGTGCAGGGGCCAACTAGATTTTGATTCCAATCTTTCAACTGATCGGCTGAAGCATGGAGTGAGCTCTTTAATGCAATTAAAGCATCTCCTGGAACAGATGATAGATATTCATAATACAATTAAGCAAATAAATAAACCCTCTGGCCATCCAAGGCCTAAGGAATCAGTATCTAAAATCAACCAAGAGAAGAAAAGGAAATGAACTTATAGTGGAAGATCCTCTCACTATACCAAATGCACATTAACTCATGCATGCAACTTACATGGATCTCAACAGAAGTGAGTTACTTCAGCCCAAATTTCTCAAAAACTCAACTCCAAAATTTAAGTCGATAACACAGAGTGAAATAAAGTTCAATAAAATATAACTAAGCAACCAAGTCTAGAGGCTTTGAAAATTCAGCTGATTGATAACGATTGATAGTCCCTAGAGTGGTAAAACTATTTTTTATAGGAATTGAAGGTCTCGTTAAAAACCCCCTTCTTTATTAAAGAAGCTTGTAGACGAGCTCCTTAATCAGAGGAAGGAGGAAAAGAGTGCCTTAAGATTTCATTAAACAAAAGAAATTACATAAGATACAAACTTATAGTACCCCCACCAAAAACAAAGAATCAGAAAACAACCAAAAACAACCCTTCACAACAACACTAACTGCCTAATCACCTCAGCTACAACAACAACTCCAAGAGGACAACCAGAACTTGGCCCGAAACACAGCACAACACAGAACAACTATAGAAAAGCCACATAACAGCTGACAAACCATAAAAGCCAAATTCGGACATTAAAGCCATGAGCTTCCACACGATAAGTGAAGAAACCAGAAACTTCGAAAAAACTCTGTCCACCATTCTGCACCGAATACTGGACATGACATCGGAGACCAAACCGAAACTCCAACTCCAAAATCCAAAATCAACTTCGATTCCCCGAAAACAAATCACCACATATTGTATCTTTCAATACGTCCATCGCTAAAATGTTCCAAAATCAAGAACACTCGTGAGCCTTTAGATTCAAAATCCGAATCTTCCCCGATCTGAAGGGATTCTTTCGCATCCTTCTTATGTCTCTGCCGCCTTGCATGAAAGACAGAATCATAAAGGATTCTACCTTCAAGTTCAGACAATCCTTCCACACGTTGCACCTTACTGTGATTACTCTTTCTACGGTAATCTCTAGACTTCCAGTGTTGAGCCGAATGTTTTCCAAGAGCTGAATGGAGAGAGCTTAAATTATTATTATTCCCATCCTTTGCTGTCCGGTTCTGCCTGTCCACGCCCTTGGAACTAATAAATGCAGAATTATTTGCCAGGCCCACAATATTCTCATCCTCCACTACCTTTGTCTCTACCCTACAATCCAACATGGGGAATTCTATAAAATAATCCTTCATTCCCTCAAAACCACGTGCAGTGTCACTACTTTTCCTCTTGTCATTTTCTGCCTCTTTCTCCGCTTGGACCAGCACATCCTCGTGTTCCACTACTTCCTCAATTTTCGATTGAGCCATCCCCTGACCAGCAACAACAATCCTCAGTCCCGAAAATAGTTCCTCCCCTATATTCCTTTCCTCCTCAACCTCATCCTCTAGTTATGTTCCCCATACAACATAATAGATTGTCTTCTTCCTCAGAACACCGCTTGGAATTATTGACCTCCGAAGAGTCCATGCTTCTTCCTGCTTCCTCAGCACATTCCTTCACCTTGGAAATCTTCACTGGCGAATCACCATCGAGTTCCCCCACCGTGGATAACGGGTAGGCAACTACCTTTTCCATCATGGATGAATCCACCCAGACAGATTCTGGTTTGAAACAAGGTTCAAACTCAGAAACATAAATTGTATAGATCTGATCCCCGACTTTCAAATCTAAGTAGTCTTCCACTCAAGCTTGGCAGTTCGTGGTTATCTGCAACAATGCTCTATCAAACGAGTCGGGGTTGAAGGTCCCTTCCTCAATGGAGAAAAGTTCTCCCCATTTGCCAGCAATGTTTCTGAAGGTGGAATGGCTCTATACGAACGAAGGGATTCCTTTGCACGAAATCCATGACCGACGGCTGCTGCACTGAAACTTTTCCGACCACACTTCCACTTTGTCGAAGCAGTTTCTCAACGCCCCAATCTGATTATTAAGAGCCAAATCCTTACTCTCTTCATCTTCAAAAATGATTAAAATTGCTAAACCACTTAACCTCATAATTTTGGGACAAAACACGCCTTCCTTATGCAAAAGCGTAGCCAGCTCTTTCATTTTTAAAATTTTTCTGCACCAACCTACCAAGTTATTTTTGAGAGCTAAGAGCTTATCCTCGTCAACAACACCGACTATGGGAGCCTCTGAATGATTATCAACCTCCACTTTACTCTTGACCTCGGCTAGTTTTGGACCAGAAAACTTCTTTCTCCATAATTCTTCACGAGGTTGAAATCTCGCCATGAAAAGTCTAATTATAAAACCTTGAAACCAAGATCCATCAGCACAATTGATAGCCTTCCTCGCGTCCTCCACTCTGCTGAAGCGAACAAAGTCAAACCTACTTCCTCCCATACTTCTTTTATTAGGGATGAAAGAATCAACCACATCGCCATATTTATCGGGAAAAAACCTAAGACCTTGATGATGAAGATACTCTGGGATATTGAAAATGATCACTGTAAAGCAATTTTTCCCAACAAATCTTCTCACCTTACTCGACATCAAAGAGATATAAAAAGGGAAAAAGAAAGAAAATATTTTAAAACGCCTGATTTTTAGAGAGAATGAGGAGCTTCTCTCACTAACGCCTCATTCCCAAGCTAATGAGACGGTTAAAAGGACCCTAGAGTGGTAAAACTTATTGAACAAGAAGAAAAGCTTCAGGCATCTTTTCGTGAATCCATTTGAGCTTATTGGCTAAGTAATATCATCCCTTTACATCTAAGCACTTTAGCACATATAAGGCCCAACACTCCAAAGACTATTACAAATAGGAAATTTAACTCTAAAAAACAAAGGACAAGCTCAAACATGCCTATTGTGAATGATGTCTATCGTCAAATTTACCAGTGAAGTGAAATCCTGAGAAAAATTGCCCAACAGGAGCATTTAAACAAGAATAACCTTGAAAATCAGCAGATACAAATGAGAGCAAACAAGCCAACAAAAGTGCACCAAGAAATGGTCCCATCTTCAGCAAAGTTGAGCCCAATGATCAATGCAATGAAATACAAAATCTCTTACATATATACAAGTGACCATCACTGCAAAAAAATATGCATCAAATCATAAATATAAAAGCATATTACAAATGATAACTAGGAAAAAAAAAACAACCTAACATCGGAGTCCGAGTAATGTTGGCAGTTAAGATCAATACAGATCAATAATTGCTAAAGAGAGAAAAATTAAAACATAACAAAAACAGAGAGTTCCATATACAAAAGTTCCTATTAGGACAACCATCGATCGATGGAGAAACTAGCAACTGTCAAGCACAGGCCCTTCTGTTCTTGACTCACATCAGGAATTTTACAGCATTTATTAGTGCTTCAATAAATTTTGGGGGTAGGAGGAAATGACAGGCAATTCACTTCATATCAGTTTACAAATTTCAAATCATTGACATTTTCTATATAATTTGACAATCATCATTTCCAGAAAGTTTTTGGTCAGTGATTGGAAGCTATATAATGAAATTATATGTATCCCAGCACTTTACTTTGTCTCACAGAACGTTTCATCTTTGCAAAATCATTCTTTCCTTTTCAGTTATAACATGAAGTTACTAGAATCAATAAGTGTAATAAGTCAATAAAAAGATAACAAATTTTCCATCAAATATTCCTTTTCTGGCAGAGAAAGAACGTCAAACAAAATCACAATGAGCTCTCCAAAGGATCTTTCAAGATTGCAGAACAGTAATGCAGCTTTTAACATTCAGTACCAAGCAAATTAATGCAAAATCAAACAAGTATAGTTCCAATTGGGGAAAAATGTTTGGATTAAGAAGAAAAAAAGGGAAATCTATTTTTCAGTACTGAAACAATTCTCTAAACAACAAGTAAAAGGAGCAGTTATTTTTAAAAAGGTCACATCTTCTTTTTCTCCAGAGATTTTCCTTGAATTTAACCAGCCTAAAAACAATGAATTTAACCGAATCAAGAGAGTAAAACAACAAGCCAATAATTGAATAAAACCCAAAGCTTAGAATCTCAAGAAAAAAAACATAAAAACAAAGAACTTAGAACTTGGTTTAGGAAGAAAGTTGCTTACCTTTGAGAAAGAAATCGGTTAGAGAAGAAAAATAAAGGATGGGGTGTTTTTTATTATTTCAGATGGACTGTAATAACTTGTAAGAATCATATACTGATTCCCTTGGGTGAAGGACAGACATTATTTTTGTCAGAAACAGAAGTCTATCGAGAACCTTAGGAAGCACGTCTTTTATGGTCTTATTTTCTGTAATTAATTTTGGACGGACCCATTAATTTATATAAAATATTAAAAATATGAATGTAACTTGATGGAAATAACAATGGTTTTGTATATATATATACATTTTAAACAATAATGGTTGTATATTTTTTATTGTCTTTTATTGAACTCTCATATTCTTATTATTCTTGATGTTTGAATTTAAGACCTTAAAAATAATAACAATAATTTTATTACTGAAATTGTTTTATTTGTACAATAATTATATATTTTAAATTGTCAATTAGATTATAGTTTTTATTAGTTTAGTTTATTCAATTTATAAATAGTTTTTATCCACTATCCATATTTCCGAACAATCTTAATCTAGATTAGCGTACTAGATAATACTCCACAAAGATTATTTTCACATCATAGTCTACGCGTTTTTACCCAAAAATCACATTGACAGAAATTAATTATTTGTCAGGCACTGTTTCAAAAAATTTTACCGATCTAACACCCTTTCTGATGAGGCGCGGATCTAGCACCCTTTCTGACATGGCGCGGATAGTTATCCGCTCCTTATCCGAGCTCGTGCCACGCCATCCATGCCTTTATGGGATTCTAACACGCGCCAGTAAGACACGAATCTTTTATTATTAGTTCCGAACTTCTCGACCTTTAAACTCTCCCCTCACCTATAAATAATACCCCCTTCAACCGTAAATATCACCACATCAATTCCTACTATATTTGTTTCACCAGTTCCTTTGATATTTTCTTGTAAGGTAATTTTTTTAATATATTATATTTATTTTATGTATGATTATTTGGAAAAAAAATATTGTATTGGTTATTTTCTATTATTTTTTGCGGTTGTAAAATTGAAAAGTGGGATCATATGTCGATACATTTTTGCCGATACGGTAACAATATAAAATTATATTATTTAATTATTATTAATATTTTTAAATTTTTTTATTAATTTATATTTTAATTCGTACACTATTTATTTAATTAGGCGTTTTTCATCTTTTGTTTTTGCAGATATAAGACTCTTAATCTTTCAAACTCTCAGAATGACGAGTATTTTAGCTATTGTTTACTATGATGGAGAAATTTTGAAATATGAAACTGGCGTCGTGTTCGCATCAAATCATTCTATCAAAATATCCTTCAAGATAAACATAACTCTTGAGGAACTGATAACGAAGATTTCAAGGAAGGTTCATGTTGGAAGTACTAGAAGATTGTCCTCGCTTCAGTACAGATTTCCAACATCGGTGTTTTCGTTAACTTATACAGCGTTCAAACTATCGAATGATAACGATGTTGCAATGATGGTTGATTATTAAGATCATTATTCAGACGTCGATACAGAGATGTATGAAATTAGTTGAAGTGTGTGTTGTTCGTGGTATGTCATTATGCTCTCACTATGGGCTGACTCAACAAGTTGATCAAGTTGACAGTCCAACTACAGTAATATTTAATGATTTTAACGTCATAATGGGAAATCCGCATCATGGTGTCATCCCATCAAGTTCAATGGGGAGATATTCATCAGCAACTTCTTACGATCTGTATCGAGGTGGGTCCACAAACAATTCGTATGGCAGCATCACATCCAGTTCAAGGGGAAGACATTCATCTGCTAATTTCATTGAACTGGATATGGAGTTGCGTCACGCAACAATATGTATAGTACCCATTTGACACGATGCCTTCAAGCTCCAAGGAGAGGCATATGCGAGCTTCTTCGACCTCAATGTCAAGATGCCTTCAAGTTCAAGGGGAAGGCATGCAAGTACCAGCTTGTTCGACCTAAATGTCGACAGCGTGGAGGAACCCTCATCTCTACCAGAAGAACCTCTTCGTGAGCCAGGTGCAGATGGTGTTGAGATTGGACTATTTGTTCACCCAGAATCATCACAGTTCAACATAGACTCCAATGATTATGATGATGTAGATGAAGTTCCCACAAATACGGTACACATTGAATCTCCAACACATATGTATGAAGTTGACTATGGTGCAATGTATGGGCCAGAATTTACAGATATGCCTAATGTCGGTGACTATGGATTTAATTTATCAGTCAATAATGGTGAGTTATATAAAGGAATGGAGTTTTCATGCAAACAAGAAGCAATGATGGCAATTAAGAATTACAATATTCGTAATTTTGTTCAGTCCAGAGTCGGCCGCTCTATCACCGAAAAGTATGTATGTCACTGTGTCTAACGTGAAAACGGATGCAATTGGATGGTTCGTGTATCGAAGAGGAAGATGAAAAACAATATATTTGAACTAACAATATACAATGGTCCTCGCACATGTTTTGTTGGAGGGATCAACCAGGATCATCCCAACTTAGACTCTGACATGATCTGCCAAGCCACCATGCCCATGGTAAAAGCAAGCTCCCATATAGCTATTGATGTGTTGATTTCAACTATACAATCGCAGTATAGGTATACCGTCTCATATAGGGAAGCATGGAAGGAAAAGCAGAATGCCATTAAAAACTTCACGGCGAATGGGATGAATCTTACAATGAACTACCAATTTGGTTTCGGGTGGTGCGCAGATTGAATATTGGGACAATTATGGACTTCGAAACTTACTATGCATACCACAATGATCGAGTTCTTTACGATCGATGTCAATTCTACCGGCTTTTTTGGACTTACCCACAGTGCATTAATACTGTGAAATACTGCAAGCCCGTGGTCCAAATCGACGGGACATTCTTGTATAGAAAATACATCAAGTTTTACTATTGGCAGTTTTTCAAGATGGTAATTGCAACATACTTCCAGTTGCTTTTGCCCTTGTTGAAGGAGAAGATACATATTTTTGGGCTTTTTCCTCCAAAACTTACGCTTACATGTTATCACGAGGGAAAAAATATGTGTCGTTTCAGGTCACGGAGCTGAGATCAAAGTATAAATGGATTATTTGGGTCCAATGTGGCAACCACCCTATGTCCAACATTGGTACTGTATCTGACACATTGTTGTAAACTATTATGGAAGGTTTAAGAAGAATGTCAAGCGCCAATTACTTGTGCGTATGAGTATGTCAAAATGTTATTTTTTATTTGTCAATCATTTTCATTTTTTTATGTAAACAAAGTTATTAAGTTCTACATTTGATGCTTAGTTTACGAACTATTACCTCAAACATTTGAGTCCATGCTTCAAGAGTTGAGGGGAAAGAACGAGGAATTATACAATTACATCATCCTCATCAATAAAGAAATATAGACAAATGCATATGATGGTGGACACATGACGACCAATTTCGCTGAGGCTATCAATTTGACCTTAAAGGGGGCACGCCGTTTACTAGTAACGACTTTGGTAAAAACAACATATTTTTGTTTAGGAGCGATTTTTGCCAATCTTGAGGGACAAGCTCAAACTTGGGTGCAAAACGGTCATGTCTATCACCCTAGATTAGTTACAAATCTACAAAAAAGAATTGTTGCATCAAATGAGATGTTTGTAACAAGTTTCTCTAGAACCCATGAATTATTTCATGTCATAGAGATCCCGCGACCTCTTTAAGGGATTTAAGCTAACTCATTCAAAGTTAATCTATGAGACAGATGATGCGACTGTGGGTTTTTCAAGCTCTAAAGTATCCATGCTCTCATGTCATAACAGCTTGCTCGCATACCCATCAAGACTATAACCATTTTGTGGATCTCGTATGCCTACTATCAGAAGTGTTTAAGGTATATGAATTTGAGTTCCCCCATAGATAATGAGAAAGACCCTAATAAGGTTCAGAATTAGCTTCTGATTGTACCAGATACGTCCTTATTGAGGGATCACGGTCATCTAAAATCCACTCAAATTCATTGTGATATGGATATTCGAGAAACGTCTAGAGAAAACAAAAGATGTGGCATTGTAGAAACCCATGACACATTAGGAAAAAATGTCTATCTCTTTTGTCATCAAGTAATTGTTGATATTGTGCTTGATGTAGTTGTTGTTTATGAAAGATAAGTTTCTGTAATTTAATTTTCATTTACTTTAAGTTAATGTCATTTGATCATCACCGATTAATTAAACAAGAAAACGATACAAGAAAAGAGATTAAAAAGCATTAAATAATAAAAGCATTCACTTGAATTAATATAATAAACAAAATAAATTAATTAATAAAAAGTCAATAATTAAAAAAATTACAATTTTTTAAATAAAAAATTAAATACAAAAATAATGAAATATATGAATCTATCAATGTCTGCGTCTTGAATGTGTTCAGCAGGGCGGTAACTGTCTGTCTCGAGGCGGATTTCTTCGTATAACTTGTTTTAACTCCTCACTCTCATCATCATCTTCATCATCATCACCATCACCATTATCATCATCATCATCATCAGGAGCAGGTACATTTTGTTGATGAGGGACGAATGACGATGTAACACCTTCATAGAATAAGGACCCTAGAGGTGTATGACTGACTATCCCACCGCTCATAGAAAATTGGGAAAACTAAGAAAAGACCTACATTGATGAGTGAGAAAATTGTACAGGAGGTGTCTGTGCGGCAGCCATCGGTGGTGAAGATGGACCTGCCATATAACCAGTATATGAACCTCAAGTTAGATCTGCAAACATAGAACCATATATCCTCCAGGAGGAGTCATATAACTATGCGGTGGTAGTGACATCTAGTATGGAAACGACGGTGGCAGCATCTGATATGGCTGCGGAGCCATCTGAAACGGTTGCGGAATGTACAATGGTGTAGACTGTGGCAGCTGTAAAGGTTCTAGTGCTGCAGCTGAGGACGAACCGGAAGCGTCCACTCTCTGTCTACGAGTCGAGGTACGATGGAGTTGTGATGGTGGACGTCTTTGTTGACGTCGATGAATGCTCTCGCCTCGTGCTTCCTTGGAAAGTAGAAATTGTTTCTCGTTCCTTTTAAACCACTCGTAATAACCATCTGGAACCGTC